AGATAATTTTTCTGAAACGGTTTTGATGTTGGATGAAGAACAATATTTAGAGCCGGAGATTGGGGGTAGGTGTGTAAACGATAGGAGACAGCTCGCGAGCTACTCGAGCTCGACTCGTTTGGTCAAAGTTTGGTCAACACTCGACTCGAATAGGCTCGACTCGCACTCGAGCTCGACTCAACATATTAACGAGCCGAATCAAGCTATCCAATACTCGACTCTAAAAGCTCGTGAGATACTTGATTTTTTTTATATATAATTACTTTTAAAATGTAATCACTTTTATAATATAATTTGTGAAATTTAATATCATAAAAATGTCTCATATTTTTAGATATTTGAACAAAATTATGTATTTTTTTAATAATAAAAACTAATCAATTATTTTATTATTAAAATCATAATTAAAAAAGACAAAAAAAACTATAGAAGTGTTGGTGATGTTGTCCCACATTGGAAGAAAATTAGTAAAAGAAGGGTGAAGAGGTATTATAAAAAGAGAGGGAGGTGAATGCATTTTGTAACTTTGTCTTTTTGAAGATGAAGTTTGAACTACATTTCTTTAGTTTTCTAAAATTCAAGACAACATATTTAAATTTTATAAATTTTAATAGAATACCCTAAAATTTCATAAATTTCAATGTTTGAGAATGGTTCGAGCTTGGTTCAAGTTCTAGTTTGATTCGAGTTAGAGTTCGAGCTTAAAAAATTGCAATCGAGATTGAGTCGAGTTTAGTTTATAACTAGTTGTGAGTTTTTGAGTCGAGTGCGAGCTTGAAAAATTACAATCGAGTTCGAGTCGAGTATATCGATACTCGAGTTTGACTCGCATCATTTACACCCTTGATTGGAGAGATCTTAGCGGAAATTTGGGATGTTGAAGATCTGGATCTAGATCAAGAGGGTGGCAGGAGAATGTAATGTACTCCACCCTAATTCTATTCGAGCTTGGTAAACAATAACAAACAGGGGGCGGGGGATTCATCTGCAACTGCAAGTGTTAGAGAAAGTGGTGAAGGGAGAGGAGATGGAACTCGGTGAAGGAAGTTACAAGTGGTTGTATTGTATGTGTATGGTTCATCGGCAGAGAACATCCGAAAGACGTACAGTGTAATTTTATGTAAACCACGTTAACAAAATTTGTAATTTACTCTGAATCTAATACATCTTTAATCCATATATTTTTTAAACTATAAAAATAAGTTTTTGTTTGGTTCAAAAATATGACTCTGGATGTTTAATTATTTATAATTAAAAAATAGATTGTATTTGATCCAAGTTTAATTTAATATAATTTAAATAAATAATGAACAGATCCAAGAAAAAGGAGCACGTTACGAGTCGATGCCCAATTGTTAAAGTAGACTTAATTTGCCTTCCTTTGTTTTTTTATTAACCTGGATATCCATGTGAGCGGACTAATTTCAGGACGACTACCTGTTTTGCAGATGGTTCGGAGTCACCGTATTTAAACCTCCGTGGCCACAAGGGGATTTTTATTTCTTCTTAGATTGAAACTTGAGACCTCCTGGTACTTTTGATCTTTTGAGTCAAGCTCAAACCAATCAGACAATACCCTTGTGGTTTTATTTATTTTTTATTTACTAGAACTGTAACTCTACAATTCATCGAGATTTTGAAATCTATATTTATGCTTGATCAACTTGTAATTTTGAATTTATTAGTAATATTATTAATTGGTGGTATTTGATGTATAAAACGTAGTTTTTAAGAGTACTGCTTAAATGCTTTATAATATAATATAGATAGATTATGAAATTATTTGGTTAAAAGTCGATTATAGCTACCTTGAGGAACGCCAATGTAAAATGACATTTTTTGACCCACTTAGTGTTGAGGTTAGCGTCGGAGATGGGGGGAGGGTCCGAGATCGAAAGCGGGACCTATCTTGAATTTAGGTAAAGTCATCTCGTCCCTTTATCAATTGAGCTATACGCCAGAGACTATTATGATATTGTTAATTTTATATTTATGTATTTTTTAAAAACTTAGGCATTGTTTGGCAAAAATAAGCTACCTTATTTTCTGGGTACAAGTTTGAAAGCTAACTTATAAGCCACAGAGTAGCGTTTTGCTAGCTTATTGTCATTTTTTCCAATTATAACTCTCATTAACATTAATTATTAATTATTACTATTAATTAGAAAAAGATATTAATATCACTAATATTAATAAATATTAATTTATTAAAAATTAAAAATTAAAATTAAAAGTTATTTATTAATTAATTTTAATTATACATTATTCATTAATAGTATTTGTTAATTATTTACAATACTTATTAATAATATCAATTATTTTTATATTATTATTAAATATGTTTAGTTACCAAAATGTAAAAATAACAATATAAATAGTATTAATGTAACATAAACTTTAAAGTTACACTTATTTTGTTTCATTTATAATAAAAAATGTTAAATAATTTGAATAAAATATTTAATCTAATCATTAAATATGTTTTCAGAAAACTATTAATTAATTAGGATATGTGGGTCAGAGCACCATTGCAAATACATTTTTGTCAGATGTTTGCTGCCATGTAGGACTCACAATTGCAAAATTTGCAATTCATTTTGAAAGTCACGTGGGCACCAACCTCCTCTTSAATTTCTTTTTTTCTGATTATTTAAATAAATTAATTTTTATAATATTAATATATTTATTAATTACATTAATTATTCTTATATGAAAATATTCTAT